TATCTTTAGCTTATTGTGACTTCAATATTATAACCTATATATAGACTAATCAAATATAACTTTCTTCTTTATATTATTCTATTACACTATATAATATTATTCTTAAAATATATTGTATACTATTTAAACATTAACAATTCATTTATTATAACTAATTATAAATCTATTAATAATTCAGGAACAATTTCAAATAAAAAGAGTTTTGAATATATTACTATTAATCAAGGAATTTCTTAAGGAAACTTATTAATCATTATATATAAAAAACTAATTCAAAAAGAATAAAGAATACAAATTTATTATTAATAAAAACAAATTAAATATTAAAACAATATTTATATTAAATATAAATCATTATTATATAAAAACTTATAATAAAGATTCTTATATATAAGCTTAAATAATAAACAATCTTTCAAATATATATATAATTTTAATAGAAAAAATGACTGGTTAATATAAATAATAAATCAATTCAAAATATAATCATTTATTATCACTTTTAATGTTAATATTAGAAATATAGTTACCTTTATTAAGCTCAAATATAAAGGATATTTATTAGCTATAGATCTTAAGTTTTGTTTCTTTTTATTAACAGAATAATATTTATATAATAAGGATTACTTAGGATAAATTTGATTAAGTAGTAGAATATTAAACTATAAATAATAGGGAATCTTTTAATATAATTATTTTATTATAAATAATTCATTTTAATAAAAAAGAATATAGGGATATCCTACTTAATGAAAAAGATCTAATTAAAACCCTATCTCAATTATTATTATATTTATATAATTTCGTTTATAATTATTATAAATCAGCTTATTTACATAAGGTCTTAAAGACAGATGTTTTTAAATTCCTAATTAGAAAACCTGAACTCAATAATACGGAAATTTGATAAAAGCTTTTTTTATTATTATAAAATAAGTTACCTACATTTCTTTTATATTATGCAAATACTTTTTTATTATATTAAGTATAGAATTATAAAATTAAATTAATACCTAAAAAAAGAGCTATTATATTTTAAAAACCATCTATTGTTATTATTAAAGCTTGAAATTATATATAAATAGATTAATAATAACCTTAGTAAAGGCTTCATTTGGAAATCAAGATTATATAGTACTATATCCTTGTTTTTAACTGTTAAGCTAAATGGTAGTATATATATATATTAAGATTATTAAGGATTAAAAAATATTATAATAAAAAATCGTTATTCATTTTTCATTATTTGTGAAACTCTGAATACTTTTTATAATATTATAGTATATATAAAACTGAATATTATTATTACTTTTAATAAATTTTATATTATAAAAAATAATAAATGGAAAACAGCTTTTATTACTTGTTTCAATTTTTTCAAGTTATTTATTATACTTTTTAGCCTTTATAATAACGTAACGTATGGGGAACTCGGACATATGGGGAACTCGGACACTTTTTCAATTATTCTACACGCGATCTTGTTCTACGAGCCACACAATCCTCCAATTCCAATTCCGAATCGCTTGAACTATTCTCTAGCTCTTCTTCTTCAATCTCTTCTTCTGATTCTTCAATTGGGCGTTTGCGTGGCCGTCCTCGTGGCTTTTTCTCCTTCGGTTTTTCCTCCGCCTCACGTACCATTTTCAATACTTCCTTAGTACTAAAGACAAATTGACCTTGTAATTTGACTCTTTTGCCTTTAGTTCTTTTCTTTCGAGTCTCAATTACCTCCTGAGCATCAGAGAGCTGTTTCCGAAGTAGGGCTATCTCAGCATTTTGAGATTCTACAAGCCTAGTCATTCTCTTGGCATATCGACGAGTTGGCGATGCAGGAGAACCACTGCTTGCTAGAGCTGTATTAAAGATCTGATTTGCTTGCCTTAGTTCTGTTCCATCTGGAGGAGAACTCCTGAGTATAGACAAGTCTAGGTCTTGATTGGGGGTTCTCATTTGTGGAGTAGAAGGTTGCTGGGAGGAGTTAAATGGTAATGAATCGAGTACTTTTCGTGGGGCAAAAGGTACTAAACCAGCTCCTCTCCAGCCAGCTTTAATATTAGAAGAATTCAATGCTTTTTTTCTAATATTTTGAAAGAGTTCTACCCATTCAGCTCTTTGGATTCGCTTTACACCAGCTCGAGAATATCGATCGACCTCTAAAGCATGATATCGTTTCATTGGCCCATACACCGCAATAGCAAGTGGCTGAAGCAAGTGAGAGCAATGAGGAGGTAATATAAGTAAATCAATATCATTATCTATACAGAAAGCAATAAAGCTACCTGTAATATGGCTTGAATGGCCATCCATGATCAAAAGTCGAGGTCGGTCACCTGACACTTTCTTGGATTCTGGTTCGAAAACCCTTTTTAACCATTCTAATCCATGGCTATTTGAGGTCCATCCATTTGTACTAGTAGAGAACTGCCAGCTTTGAGGTGTGTCCTTTGGAATCCATGCAGAATTCGTATTCTGAGCCTTGAAAATGACCATAGGTGATAGAGCATTTCCAGCTGCATTGACACATTCAAATGCAGTTATCCATTCTTGCTTGCCAGCCGTAACTTTCCAATTCGATTTCTGAGTAGAATCGACTATAATGCGCGTACTTTGAGTACTTCCAACTCCAAATCCGGTTTCATCCATATTATACATATCATCTAATTCATACTTTCGCTTAATGAGACGCGTGCGAAACGTGTCAAACCAAGCCTGAATATTCTCCGGAGTTGCTTCTTTAGTCCGATTAGACTCTAATTGACATGAATAGTATGTTTTAAGTTCTGGATGTCGTTTTTGGAATCTATAGATCCATTCGTGGCCTATAGGTGGAATTTCTGTCGAGGTAGGATTTCGAGATGATGCGACCCGAACGCGTCGAAGACGAATTTCGTCGGCCATTTCCTTCACCAACATAGGTGTAGCAGGGAATCCAGTGATGGTAAGTCGTGAAATCCATCGTACAAGAGTATTTTCTTCTGCGTTTGAAAGAATTTGAGCCATTTCGTGGGTTTGGGAACGTGTTTTCTTCCCAGCCAGCCTATCAGCTAGGGTAGACTTAGGGACTTCAAAATGCTCTGCAGCCTTTCTAATTGATTTAAATTCTTTCAATTGAAGTGAAATTATAGCCTTTTGAAGCTTCTCTTCAATTTGAGCAGATGTAGAAGGTGATTGGGTATGCATAATAAAAGTTATTGCGGTTTCAAGTTGGTGATGGGCTAAAAGTGTCCGAGTTCCCCATATGTCCGAGTTCCCCATACGTTACGTTAACTAATTAATAACTTTTAATACATTTTTGTTGATCATTATTCCCCTGTTTTCCATAAATTATCATAACTTTTCAATAACTTTATCAAATATGACTTTTATTATAATCTTTACAAATCAATTAATATTAAAAATATCAAAAAAGTCATCTTATACATAAATAATTCTATTAAATCTTTATTCATTTCTTTTTTCAGATTTTTAAAAACTTTAAAATTGAAATTAAAAAGAATAATAATCAATTGAAAGGTTTTTGACTGAGTCACTACCTCCCTGTCGAAATGAGTCATTATCAATAGTAATCATTAAAAAAGTCCGTAGAACAATAATTAGGATTTATATTCATTATAAAATCTATATAGAAAGTTAATATAAATCTAATATATTAAAATTTACTAATAAAATAAGCGAAAATCAAGAGCTTTTCTTTTAATATTAATTCAATCTTATATATAATAATATTCTTATATTTTAAAATCATAAAAAAATCAGTTCTGGTTTTCTGAATATTGAATAAAAATATGTTTAGAATTTTCGTTGATTTTAATGATTTAAATATTTATTTCTTATAATTAAAAATAGAATAAAATGACTGTTTTTGATGTAATTTTAGTGTTCGACAACTAGCTGTACGCGGTGACTATATATATATAAGTAATTCGATTGAATCTTAAGTCAATTCCTTTTTCAGATTTTCGAAAACTCTTAAATTAAAGTCAAAAAGAGTAATGACCAATTGAGGGGATTTTTGATTGAGTCACTACCCCTCTATCGAAATAGATCACTACCGGTGCTGATCATTAAAAAAATCCTTAAAATAATAATTAGGATTATTATTAATACTAACCATCAAAAAAATACTTAGAATAAGAGTTAGATTCTACAACTAAAGTTATTGAAGTAGTTGTTATAATGTAGTAGTAAGAATAGAAAGCTGAATAATTAAATTTCCCCGTACCTTAGCCAGTAGATTACGAGTAACTTGATTGATTACTATTATAACAATCGAAAGCGTCAAGTTTAAGGTAGTGAATCGACAATTGTAGTTGATAATCAACCAAAATTTGCGGCTGTGACAAGGCCAATATAAGGGGAAAGATGAAATGCGTCGATACGAAGGAGGCTTGCGATGCATAGCTAGTTTGAATGACCAGACAAGGAAGTGTTGGGAGGGAATTGGATTGAGGAGGAGAGGGAGCGCGATCTTATAGATGTTGAAATTGATGCGACGGCCGCTAAACCTTGAGCGTCCAACACTATAATCTAGATTACAATATTAAGAAATTGATTAAGAAATGATTGAATATATACATAAACATCATATTAAAAGGAAATATGATTTAAATTAAATAAATAGGCAAATGATTGAGTGTTAGATTGAAATTAAAATTATCATAACATTATATACTGATTAATCCCGGTCTCCTTTTTTTTCTACGTGAAGTCAGTCTGTCATATCCGCATTATTTCCCCGCCCGAACCCTGTTAGTTCGAACATTCCGAGTGCCGAAGACCCGGTTTCAGGGGGACTATATAATGAACCCTCTTCTACCCTTATCGCCCCATGGTATTGCTTCTTCGTGTTTTCACAGCTCCTACACTCATTCACCATACTCGCATTGACCATTCACAGCAGGTCGAATTGTTGAATAAATCAGCCTTTTGCATTGCTTATACTACCTGAACCGTTTACAACCAGACCCTTGCTCGCACCCGCCATTACTGATCTTACAATGACTGATAGCAGGTCATCCAGTTCTACTGGGGCATTGGACACTAAAACTGCTCCATATCGTGTATGTGACATCTGTCAAAGGTAAGTTGCCTCGAGCCTGCCAACAAGATCGCGAACCTCATTCTATTTGTCTCTCCTGCAGAAGGCGAAGAAAATGTAAGCAGTCCGAAGGATTCGGCCATAGCGAATCAATTGCGGACGGACCGAATTGGTGTCTCACATATCATTAGGCAATTTGGACAGGCCATCATGTTCGTTTTGCATAAGGAATGGTATGCAGTGTACATACAGTAGCCGAAAACAGAAGCCTGGCCCTCGCAAAGGTCGCGTCTCAACAACGACCGCTACTCTTATCTCGAAGCTTCGTATGTCGCTCTCCCATTTTTTCTAGCTCCGCTATAAGCAGGACATGACGATGAGCTGATCTAACCGGTGGCGCATAGAAAACCTCGAGTCTGTCCTGAAATCCCAGCAAGAGCAATTGGACAAGCGAACTCCAGCCCCGGGCACAATTGAGAAGAACTATGAGAACAACAACAACATATGCAGTTTCCGCGCCGGACTTTTGGACAATGAATCATATATCCCTGCCCTAGAGAGCACACTAGACCAGTGGCACAATAGTACAACGCTCTTGGGTGGTATCACCAATAACGACGTAACTTGTGGCCCAGGCGCTCTTCCATTGGAGATATACACGAAAAGAGACCATCTACATCAGACAGGGTTGCAACTTCATCTGCAAGTTTAGCTCGTGTGCAGTACTGTGCTTGTTCTAACACCGCATCCGTAGTCTCTCACTCTATTTCGATCATTTACAGCCGATAGTACCGCTATTTCGAGCCCGCCCCTTTTACGAAGATTACCATAATGGCAAAATAACCAAGGAACTCCTTGCTCCTATGTTAGCATTAGCGGCGCCGTTTTCCTCTGATCCAAGAATATCTGTACTGTCGCGTCTAGACTTCTGGCAGGACATGGTGCTTGACCATGGGTCCAGCGGTAGTCCCCGAACAGCAGCATTGGATGAAGTTCGAGTAGCTGTTCTGCGAACCCTGTATGGTTATGCGCATTTCCAAGGTCGGCAAGCGTGGCAACAAATAGGAAATCTTACTCGGCTGGCTTGCGCTTATGGTTTGCATAAAGTCGATAGCCCAAGTAATAAAACGTTGATGTCTGAGGAAGACCGAGAAGAGAGACGCTATATCTGGTGGTCTGTTTCGAAGCTCGATACCCATTCCAATTGTATTGCATCAACTCCATTTTCGATCGATCCTGAAAACGTGTATACGTTCTTAGTCTCTACACCAGTGGAAGAATTCACCGCTGGAAGTACTTGGCCATCGATTCGAGCAATTTTGAACACAGGGTCCGGTCGAGCGGAACAGTTGGTGCAAGCCATTCGGTTAAATGGCACAAATGGCGGGCAAAATATTTACGTTATGTTTGAATACATGCTCCGAGAAGTATCAACGATCCGCAGAAGGCTTGTACTAAACCCAAACAGCCATAATCAAGACCTTCTCTTCGCATTCAGAAATTTGTGCTCACATATACGACTTGGCATGTCAACCTCGTACCTCCATCCATCTCGTAATCTAGTGCTCAACGAGGCTCCATTCGCACATTGCAAGAGGCTTGAATTACTACTACACTTCCATATGTAAGCTTTCCTTTTATTATTATAATTAGCGATAGCATGGTCTAATGATACCTGCAAAAGTGTCCAGATTACTGCCCATATTCCCACCCTAGACCATGAATCCCATCCCTTCGACGACCAACTATCCCAGAAGGCCGCAATGAAAGACTGGCAGATCTGCATCGCACAATGCGAAGACATAGTTGGCGTCTTCCAGCACTGGGAACCCTCCTACTATTCGCGCACTGAGCCGACCGTGTGCTCCATCGTCTGGGCTACGTGTTATCTCCTAGCTCTCCAAATAATGCACGTTGCTACCAGCGCCGAAAAAAAGGTCCACCTAGAGAATAATCTGGGCTTGCTCTCAGCATCTCTCGAGCATTTTTCGAAGTACTGGCCCATCGCACGTGCTCAGCTCCGTGAGTCTAGCCACCCCCACTCCCACCCCGAAGGACCAACCAAATGGGCATTTATGTATGATGCAGCAGCCACCGTGGTAAATCAGGAGCTGGCTTACTGACGAATGAATGAGCAATTTTCTAGAATCGATCCAGAACTTCCGCTTCTGGTTTATGCTACAGATCAGTTTCTCCGATCTCCTCGTTCTGGTTGCGCGATTTCAGGTGCCGGTGGACCCAGATAGTGAAAATCCGACTGAGTTCAACCTGGACTCGATATTGGTGCAGGACCTGAGGTCTTATGGCGTGATAGATGAAAACTCACTGGCGATGGCGCCGAATACTAGTCAAATAATGGATAGTGCGGCTGCTGTGTACAACATGGTGTAACAATCAATGAAAACTTTGTCATCATAGAGTGTATAACCGAAGATCAATACGATAGCAGTTCATAGCACCCTTTTAAAGCGCACCCTATCGTATTTACAGTCGTACTACGAGATAAGTAATACTACTGACTACCAATGAAACCCAAAGTCGACGCAGGGATGCATGTAGATCTTAAAGGTAAGCATCTAGAATAATAATAATAATATTAGTATTTTAGTATTAGTGGAAGACTTAGTCACTTTAGCTCTAGGAATAAAGAGAATATATAGTATAAGAGTTGAATTAAAGTCAAATTATAAGCTTGATTGAACTGAATTTGCTTACTTTTTCTATGTTTTCTTTAAAGAATATTCTAGGTTTATATGGTTTATAATGAAATTCTAATAGTTTCTATACTTATAAATAAGATCGATTTAAATCGAATCTTATAGAATTGATTATTTCATAAAAATAAAGTATAATCAATTGATTTAGTTCGTTTTATTAATAATCTTTTATATGATTTCATCTTATTCTATTTCATTATAAATTAATTTAATAAGAGATATTTTAACGTAAGTTATTAGTACGTGTACTACATTAAAATACATTAAAATTAATCTTTTCTTTAACATTTATATTTTAATAGTTAATTAATGTTTTTTCAAAAAAGAAATTATATTTAATAATAATAAAAATAAAGATAACTAGAAATCATGAATAATTCTTTTATATTTCAAAAATACTAAGAATTGTTACGTTTTTCATTAAAAAAATACTATTCTTGTAATAATTACTATATAAAATCAAATTTCTAACTATTGATTAGAAATTTGTATTATTTATAGAGAGAATTATAGTATTTAGAAAAAAGAATTAACGTGGTTTAACAGTGGCTCGGTCATATTAGTGAGTCGGTCATTATTTTTACATACAAAATACGTCTGTACATAACCGTGCACTTTCTTTATTTATTGATATAATTTTCTAAAAATCTAATATTCGATATTTAATTATATAACTATTATAAAAGTCTAATTTTTTATTAGAAATTCGAATTATTAAAGCACTTATTAAAGGAATAACTTTTTTGTAACGAAAATCGTGACAATTTCTACTTTTTTTACAATATAATAAAAATATTTATATAAAAACTAGATTTTTAAAAAAATTAAATTTTTATTATTATTTGATATTCTTTTCTTTTTCAAAAATAACGAATAATAATTAAAATATGAATATTGAAAAAGGCTGGTTCAATATGTATTTTGAAGTAATCGATTTACTTGTTACGACCGAGGTCGTCACATGACTAGATTGATTAAAATATCACCTGACCAAGGTGTCCCACTGAGTCCCACTGAGTAAGGCCCAGTGGGACACAGTGGGAAGCAGTGGGACAACAGAGAACGAAGGTCTATATAAGGGAATGGGATTTCATTACAATATAGAGCTTCGTGCTCAAGAACAATCACTAGTTTCATTACTATAGTTACGAGAATTGCAACCAGTTACAACCTTATTGAATTCCTACTTGAAGTCTAGTCTAAACCACCTCGAGAGATCTCTAGACACTTCCACGTGACCCTAGAGGCAGCTCCCGTAACAGTCAGATTATAATATAAGAATTTGTTAAAATAATATAATAGATTCTAGATTATTAGATTTTAAATAGTTTTAATTAATTGATTTAATTGTTGTTGAATAATGTAGGTTTGAAAGTGTAAATTAAGGTAAAAATGATGTACATATTGATATGATGTATGTACTAATAAACTATATTATAGAAAACGATTTTTTAGGTATTTTTATAATATTCTCTTTCAAATGATTTACATTCTATTAAATGAAATCGCTAGAAAAAAATGATAGATTTTTTAAAATAATTTAACTAATTATCAATAAAACATTAAAGTTTTTCTTTAGTTTGAATAATTTTTGAAGCAAAAAGATAGGGATTCAAAAGTTTAAAATATAATCATTTTTGGTGTAAAATCGCTTAGTATACGTTGAGTAATGGCCTAAACTCTTATAATTTTTTTTTTGACTATCCTCTGAGTTGATTTCTAACTGAATGCTTTCTAGACTGCGAGGTAGACCCATTCGGGATTCTCAGAAGAGATACGGGATGGGACGGATGTTTTCACACTGTTCGTGGTCTTTCTTGGTAAGGCGATGAAGAGGAGGATAACAAATAGCGATCACAGAGCAGCAATGCTCGATCCACGACCTCAGTATCATGGATTTAATGACCTTCCTGAATAGTACACCAAGTTTGAATAGAAAGCCCAACTGTTACTTTTCTAATCAGTTTTCATTAAACAAAGCTTCCAATGTCTGACTGTGTTAGTCTTTCACCATTTCTTCACTCTTAGTCTCACGAAATTGCATACTGTGTCCCAAACTCATCCCGAAAATCGAAATTGGCAGTAATATTCGATATTTTTGTTTATCGATGGTGGATCTGCTGGTCTTAGTGTGTTGTCCGTTTCGCCAGAGCTTTATTACCCTTATCATCGATTCCGGCAAATAGTCTAACGACAATAATTATATATATACTGTACCAGCTTGTCACTGCACTGAGGCTAGTGACTCCTTTCCAGCCGTCAAAAAGATTTCGAAAATTACAATACAGTTGAAGTAAAAGACGATGGAGCCTAGACAATCAATTAAACCGAAGCCGGACTTTTCCGGATCAACTGTGCAAACATAATGTCTTTGACGGCCAGAAACTTGTGTTTGCTATTGTTGGGTAGAAAGCTCTTCGTTCCCTCTCTTCGTTCCATCTCTTCAACTAGATCGATCACCTGTTTTTGCACCAAGGTCATCCTTACATAACTTTCACTTTCTTTACTTTCATAGATAAAAGAGAGATATATCATCGTTAGGCATTTTTGATGAAAAAGAGATAACAACTACGTTTTATCTCTACATGCAATACGACAAGTACTTCCACTTCCAAGAAGGACTACCACCTTCATCCCGGGTAATGAACAACTATCTATCAGCATCGTTGTGGCTATTACAACTCCAGCACTCAAAGTTTCTTCCAGACTGGTCAAAAAGCTGGTCAAAAGGCTACAAGAGAGCAGAGGTCATCGTCCAATTTGGCAATAACACTACAAACATAAAAGCACAATTGGTAAATATATTAGAGGCTGTAATCAGGGGTGATCTTAATTTGATTGATACAGCTTATGCTCGCAAAATTGCTATGAAATATCTCGAAAGTAGTGCAACAAAAGATGGAAGTCTCAACGATTAGGTCTTGAGTAATTTGAGATCCAAGAGCTTGAAATTCGAGATGCCGAAGCCTTCTTACACGATCTCGTAGACCAACTTCACAGCTCTACTTCATCGTCGCGTAAAACTTTTGCCAAGAAGTCCAGTTGAGCCTTGATGTTCTTCTTGAAGGTAGCACCAACGTACGGCATAAAATGATCTGTATTTTGTAGCAAGACGAGTTCCTTCGGTTCAAGTGCAGCCGCATAAAGCTTGAGTTGTTGAGCCGTGGCAGAAGTGTGATCCCTATCGGCAGCGACAACAAGCAAAGGAGTGGGCGAGATTCTATGAACAACACTCACTGGCTCGAAACTAACCAGATGTTGGATCGATTGCGTGGTGATTGCCCCTTCCCAGCGAATCTTCCGGTTCTCGAGCTCTTCGATAAATGGAATGAGAGCTGGATCAGCAGTCAGAGACGTACAATTTGGATCCTTCGCGTCCTTCGAATTCTGAGCGAAGATCTGCGTGAGCCCAGGTGCAGCACCAGCTTTTATGCTACGGCGATCTTCGTAGACACCTGGAAGAATTTTCGCAAAGGGTCCCTCTAGGGCGGCTCCCGATGCGAAAGGAACTTGGACAACAACAGCACGAATACGCTTATCAAAGGCAGCAGCGTAGATAGCGACACCACCAGACATACTTGAGCCCCAGAAGACGATTCGAGATTCATCAACGTCTGGCAAAGAAGCAGCAAAATCAAAGGCGTCAGAGTAGTCGCGCGCTTGCTGGTTCGGGTCGACCTCGTCACGAAGAGATCCCTCGCTACTTCCGAAGTTGCGGTGATCATAGAGCAAAACTCCATAGCCTGCTTCCTGGAAGCGCTCGGCAAAATCCGGGAGAAATTGTTCTTTCAATCCTCCTATCTGAATTTCATACTAGTCAGTACATGCTAGTAGTTTTGAGGCAGCGTCCGATAGTACGTACTCCGGGTGCCATAATTATACATGGCCGCGGTCCGGCCTGCGCTGCTTTGTAAAAAAACCCCCGCAAGACAACGTGATCGACCGTCTTGAATTCGATGTTTTGGATGCTTTTCGACATAGTGGATCTAAGTAGTTTGGTATCTGCGACAATCGAGCTGATGTAAAGGTAATAGCGTTCTTGGAAGAGATGTGTTGGAATTTAGATGGACAAGTCTGAGGAGCAATCCCGTGGTGAGAAGAGCTCTATATATACGCATAGCGATGCCAGTAGATAGAAGCTAGTCTACAACCCATGACAACGCACTCTACCCCAGAGATTAGCTGTAAGCATTGCAGTTCTTTTACCCTCCTTCGACCTAGAAATCACTCATCCCACCACCTTCCAACCACTACCCCTAAGTCCAGCGGTAGTGGAGAAAATAAATAGTCCACCTGAAATAGAATTCAGGGTTCACATGTATGCGGGGTGTGCGGACCCAGTTTTAACCTGGGCAATCAACGATCACGAGCCCAGAGCGGATTATCTAAATACTCCACCACGGGGTAGGAACTACCGGTTGAAATTAAATTCCTGCATGACAAGGCTGAACCCTGACGCTGATAGTGAAATATCGGTATCGTTTTGAATGAATGCCGGCCTAGATTTAGCTAGTGTATACTATATTAAAAACTATCAAAAGTCATTTATTTCAAAATTCGTTATTCTTTTAATAGTAATGATTGAAGATAACGTAGTTCATTAGCATGTATGTCAGGTTTCTATAGTAGGGAATATATCGAGTAGATTCTAAATCATTTAAAAAGTATAAAGTAATAAGTATATTAAAACATATTCAAAACTAATTATATATTCTAACTAAACTCAGATATATATTGAACTATATATGTTATCAATTTAGATTTTATAACCTTACAATTTTTATATACGTTTTACTATAATACCTATACTTGATATTATAAATAATAGAAATCTCTTTAATCTATATTAAGCTAATTACTTACTTAATATAAATTATCTAAATGAATCGCATCATCGATTCTTCGATAACTCTCATTGTGGAGCCGGGGTTTCCCCGGCGGCTTAGTAAATATATCCTTGTAATAATGTGAGTTAAATTATTATTAAAGATTTACCTTCTTAATAATCTTATGATTTATAAGGACTAAAGTATTATATATATAAAAAAGCTAATCTATCTAAGTCTGAGATCCGATTCGAATAATATAATTAATTTGAATCTTTATATATAATATTATAATAGTATAACGTTATAACTTGAAATATTTTTTTAATAAAATCTATTTAAATTATCTTATTAATATTAATCTCAATTAAAAGAAAAAAAGAAAAAGAGATAATCACATAGAGTGAACTAAATGCTTTCAACTAATCTAATTTTCATAATACTAACCTTAATATTAGAGATTATATAATGTATTAAAGTTTAATTCTTTTAAAGACTTTAAAGTTTATATAGTTAATATAAAAGGAAATATATTAATGAAGTTATTAAAACTTCTATAGTATAATGATATAATTGTTAATTCGAATGAAATTTTTTGAAATGTGACCTATAAATATTATGTAATAAAATGTAATTCAAAATAAAATAATTAAATCAAGATTCTAAGAAAAATAAACATTATAAACATTATAAAAAATAAATATAATTCAATAGTAAACCGACTTCGCCTATAAGCATTTAGTAGATTTTTTCTAAATTTTTACAATAATAAAAATTATCATTTTATACTTTCTCAAAAAGTAAGGGGTTCGAGGGCTCGTAGACCTCTAATATAAGTTAGTTTATTTTATATATAAAATTCGCTAATATATAATTATACACTTTTTTTATTAACTAATAAAATTATTGAAAAATTTCTAATATAAAACCTAATTTTCAAATTATTTCATAAATCTAATTTTTAATAAAACACTTGATTTTATATAGTACTTATTATGAAAATTAATTTTTTACAATAAAAATCATAACAAAATTGACATTTTTTCAAATACAATAAGATCATTTATATGAAGAAAAAAAAAATTGAAATCTTATCATTTTATTATTATTTAATATAATTTTAAAAAAAGTAGTTAGTTTCTATTTATTCTATTATATCTTTCTATATATTATATTAAATGCTTTCTAAGGTCTCTCTACTCTTTCTCTTATTAGAGATACTACTTTTATAATAATATTTCTATAGTATTTAGGGTTACTTACTCTATAATCCTATTACATTCTACTATTTTATAATATACTAATGAACTATATTAAAAGGTTCTATAAATATATAGAAGTTTAGTTGAATTTTTTATTTTTTCAAAAATGAAAAAATATAATTTCAATCTTGTAAAGAATGTGGGGTTCCAGTAGAATCCCGGCCGGGGCCGAAGGTCATGCTTATATAATATATCATATGACATAATAAGAAACCGGGCCCTTTCAAGTTTGGTAAGAACCCTATAAATACCCAAAATCCCTATATATACTACTTTTTAAATAATAGGCAATAGGGATAACAAATATAATTCAATTCTTCTTATAATATTATATGATTTATTTTAGTTATAAGCTTAATAAGCATTTAAATTATAGGATATTTTTTCAAAAAATCTTTAAATAGCTCGTATAAACTTGTAAAACTAGAATATATATATTATACTTTTATTTTCTTATAATTATCTTTTATCACTTATTTTCTTTTCATAATATAACTTTGTCGATTTCTTGTAAAGTTCTTTTCAAATCTAAATCTTTATAATGAAAGTCAAGCTAGTTACTTTTTTTAATAATAAAGAGAATTGTAAGAATGTTTTTTTTAGATAATTATATTAAATAAATTAAATAATATAAAGAATTGGAAAGAAAGAATAAAACTTTTAAGGTTTAGAAATATGTTAAACTTAGTAAGAGTAATAATAAAATTAACCTTTCTTTAAAACCTATTTAATTAAAATTATTTGTAACTGTATCTTGATTGGAATTACTCATTATTGAATTTATCAAATAAAACGATATTATTACTAGGAAGGCTATAAACGATATAAATACTGTTTCATTCTAAAGATATTTACAGAAATAAAGATGGCTTTAATTCTTATGGAACAATAATTTTCAAATATATAAGATCAGACTTGAAAAGTAAGCTCAAAATAAGAAAGAATATAATATAATTAAAATATAGATTATCGAATTAGTATTAACTATTATTCTAGTAAGGATATAGAATATATTTATTACTAATAATAGATTATACTTTGTAAGAATATTTATTATAGTATTTCAAAAAGAGCTATAACTATTTGATGACGAAATATAAGAATTGGTATATCTTAAGTATACTAAGATTATTAATAATATTAAGTATACTTATATATTAATAGTTAAATAGTATTAGGAATAAATTGAAGTTTATTTTAAGATAATGAAATACAAAATTTCGAAAATTATTAGAATGTTGGGTATCAAATCCTTTTTGATTATAGTTATAATTAGATTTACATTAGAATAAGTAAATTCAAAGCTTTGAAATATAACTATAGTATAACTTGAAAACTCTAATATAAAATCTCTATAGAAATATAAGAATATTTTCGATATACTTGTAACTACTTTTTTCTATATAATATTAGCTAAGAGAAAAAGTAAAAATAGTATAAATCAATATTCAATACTTTAAAATGAATTATCCAATATAAATACATTTGGATTATACTTATGTATCATATCTAACAAAAGATCCTACAAATAGCCCAGCATTAAATACTATCGACTAGAATATATACTTATTAGATCCAGTTCGGAGTCGATCTTGAGTATATTTATTAATTAAAATATAAGGAAGATATTTAATAGAATTTAATAGAATAAATTTAAAGATAATTGAGCTATTTGAAAAGAAAAGAAATGATTGAAAGTTTATACTAAGAAAAAGGAACAAAAACTTCATTCCTCTTCTAGAAGACAGATAAATATCATTATAATTATTTTAAATTCGGATAACTTTGAAAAGATTAAATTATTTATTAATATTTATTCTACCCTTAAATTGACTAATTATTCATTATTGATATTTACTCTAATAAATAATTATAATATAATATATATTATAAATAATAAAGAATTATTTATAAAAGGATTATATTAAAAGACTAAAAATAGAAAAAAAATCTATATTAGATCCTTATTTCTTTCGATTAAAAACTATAATATAAAAATGATTAGTAACTGTCTTAAAGGTAATATAAAACCGAATATAAGAAACTTGATTCTCAAAGATATTACTTATATTTATAGCTTCAATATTAATATTATTTTTAAAACAATTTTTAATAAAATAAGAATCTAATATTATAATCTAAATTATACATTAAAAAAAAATAAAACACTTGAGAAGAATAAGATTATTAAAAAGTTGGAATATAAATTTGTAATTATTTTCTTTGAATATAAGTCTTTATACTCTTATTTGTCTTTCTTATGTATTCTAAATAATTCGATTAATACCCTAATATACTTAATAATTATAAGAAAATTATTGAAATAGTTTAGGTAATAAAAAGAAGAGTATTTAAGACTGAGAAGTGATTTAAATGACCTTTAGTATAAATATATAGATTATTTAGGTTAAAAAGCGTTGGAATATTTAATTCATTTGATAAGAAATATTAAAATTATAGGAATATCTTATATTAAGTATATATATTATTCAATAGCTTATATAAAACAAATAATATTTTGTTAGTTAAATTTATAATTATTAGTCAAATCCTTTTAAAAAGTATTTTAGAATCTTTTTGATTTTGAAGTTAACTATAATAAATCGTTTTGATTATTATTAATTAAAAACAAATTTAATAAGAAGATCTTCTTTTTTCTTTTATTGTAAAAGATTTTTATATATATTTATAAAATTATTTAGAATTTTAATACTTTTATAAAAAGATAATATAAATTATCAATCTATATTTTATATTATAATAATAATACTTTAGTTATAGGTATTAATAAGAAAATAGAATATTAGAAGTGGATGTAGGAATAAGGTATAAATCTTAAACTTATCCTTATCTATATTTATAAATCAAATAGTAATATTGAAAGGGTAAAA